GACACCCCGGGACCTCAAGCTGGGGTGTGGAAGAAGAGTGGGGGGCGAGCAGAACTGTGGAGAGAAGCCTGCTACAGAACGCTTTCCCTGGACTGCCCAGAGAAAGAGGTGGCCTGCTCTGGCCCTCGCCCTGGAACTCTCCCTCAGTGGCAGTGTGAGGGTGGCGGTGCGGGGAGACAGCGGAGCCAGAGGCCGGGAGAAGCTGTCCCTGCCTTGTCCGAGCAGTGGTGTGTGCAGGAGACGAGTGAGTGGAGGGGGCGTGCCTACAAGCCCTGGCAGGTAGCGTGGCAGGAACCGAGGAGGGTCAGGACAGGCTAAGGGGTGAGGGGTGCGTTTGCTCTAGATGCTCCGATTTGGAGGTGCTACCTAGACACCCAGGTCAGGGCTAGCCATCAGTCCGAGGGAGCCCAGCCACAGTCCTCGGGAGCTACCTGGGCTGCTCGGGGTGGCCCAGGGCAAGAGCCGGGAGCTGAGAGTCAGGCTTGCTTGGCCGTGGGCTCCAGGGACGGAAGACGTTTACAGGGAAGACCAGGAATTCTGTTTCTGCCTGGCGCTGACATTTCGGCCTGCCTGCTCAGACCCCCAAGGAGTTGCCAGCCCTCTGTGCCTGCTTCCCGCCTTACGTGGGCTTGCACACTTGAACAGATCTCCACCGTAGTGAAGCAGCACCTGGTCACAGAGTAGCCAGGGGGAGCTCGGCCTCCGGGCACAGAGCGGCCCGCTGCCAGCCCGACTCCTCAGTGACAGGGAAGCAGAGAGAGCTGCCCTTCCCAGAGCTCCGGAGACGTTTGCACGTCCCTGATTAAAGAAAGCACACTAGATCTGCACAGAAGATACAGTGGTTCGTTTCAGACCCCGCTAGGTATTTTACTCATCTGAGGCTTATTTTGTTCAAAGAGAGGAGGATTTGATGCCACTTGAAGCTGGCAGGGGCAGGCGTGAGGAAATCAGGAGCCTCTCCTCTCCCTGCTCTGCCACAGCGGCTCTGGCTCCCACTGCCTCCACCACAGGCCAGGCCGCTGTTCAGCATTTTCTAGTAAGAACCTGACTTTGTAATTCAAATCAAGCCCCTGTTGCTCTTCCTACTTTCTGTATCATTTGATTCCTCCTGGTTCAAAAATGCCTTTCATCTCTACTATCTCCTAAAAATGTGCCACCAAGCTCTCTTGCATTTCAAATACTTACCAGCTTCTGGAGAACCCCGGGCAGGCGCAGACTAGGTGCAGCTCAGAGGCAGCCCGCCGCCTCCTGTAAGCATTTACACGTTGGGAAGCCGCACCCAGCCTTCTCCCTGGCAGACCAGGGGCCGCACAGCCGACGGGCAGTCACACAGGCTCTGGAACACAGTAGTCCCCGACTTGTCCTGCTCCACGTCTTAGCATCAGATGACTTGGAACAAGACGCATGTCTTGTAGGGTCCCAGCTTCCTGCTGGGCTGGGCACCAGCGGGAGGGCAGTGAGAGAAGGTGGGCACAGGTGTGTCCTCACGGGGCTCCTGGTCCCGCGGGCAGAGGGCAGACACGCAGTCACAAACGGGTGGCTCAGGGAGGGCCCGGCCCCGAGCACCATGCATGGAGGCGCATCCCGGCTCCGTCACAGCCGTCTCCCTGAGCAGGTCCTGCCCAGCCTCCCTGCCTCGTCTCTCTGTGAAGTAGGACTGTAACAGGCATGAGAGAACGGCGTGGGTCGCTTACCAGCACTGTTACCGCCGTCCCTGAGAGTAGGTGACAGCCACGGAGGGTCTCCGTGTGCGGAGAACGTGGGATGGGGCAGGGCGGTTGGTTTAGATGTGGAGGGTCAGGAAAGCTTTTCTGAGGGAGTAGACACAGAAGTCCCTGGAGTCGGCCACGGGCCCGCCAGTGGCATGGCGGTGAAGGCGGCTGGACCCCACACCGTCCAGGCCCCCGGCCTGGTGCCTTGAAAAACACCAGACGTGTGTGCATTCGAATCCCAGAGGAGAAGGGATTACAGCGTGGCCAGCTCTCCTGGAGGGTGTTTTCTTGCTTTTCCTCTCCCTCTCTCTCTCTGGTGAGTGCACACACCCTACAGCAAAGTTAATAAAGAGAAAAACAAAACAAAACAAAGCCATGCAGAGAGCGAGCAGGAGATGCACAGGAAGGAGAAGGGAAGTGGCCAGGCGGAGGCGCTGAAGGCGAGCCGTGGTGCCGCTCAGGGCCCAGCCTAGCACAGCGTGGGCATCACGCTGAGGACTGCTAAGCCCGAAGGCAAGGCGGGCGAGCTGGACCACGGTCCCCCAGGCAGCACACGGCAAGCGGCATGTTTTCTGTCAGAGAACCTGGTGACAGAAGTGTCTGAACATGGCTGGTTCTCAGGCCCCGGGGGCCCCGCGTGCAGTGGTCTGACACTGAGGTGGTCCGTGCTCCCAGGAACCAGTTCTGCCCTGGAGGTGGGGCTGGGGCTGAGTCAGCATGTCCCGAAGCTGTCCTGGGGGGCCACGTGCACAGTGTGGTTCTGGAGATGGGCTGCTCTAGTCACGCCTGCATGAACAGGACCCCTTTTACCGCGAGGCCAGGCCCCAGAAAACTGGCCCCCGGGCCACACCTGGTACCGCCCGGGAACTCAGGCTGGTGCTCCCATTTTCCCATGGTCAGAAAACAGAAAGGCAACGAAGCAGTCTCTGGCACACAGCGCCCAAGATGTCCCTGCTGGGCCTTTCCCGGGAGTCCATCCAGGGTGGCTCGGGCTGCACCAGCTCCGCTCGGGCCCGGCCCCGGGGACGCTGTGTCGGGAGAGCCCTCGGCCCCCGCTAACCACAGGGCTTTGATCTTCCAGGACAGATCCTCCAGAAGGACCAGGAAATCAAGGACCTCAAACAGAAGATGTCCCCCCCCTTCTCCTCCAAGTTTGTGGAGACCAGCCCCTCCGGACTCGACCCCAATGCCTCTGTCTACCAGCCCCTGAAGAAGTGAAGGCCAGCCGCGCGTTCTGCCCGCCTGTTTGGTTACCAGGAGGCACCACCAAGGAGCGTCTCTGGCAGTCCAGATAAAAAAGTTTCTATTGTATTTTGTGGGACTGTATATGTTGTCATTTTTAAAAGGGGGGAGACAACTTCCACGTCTGATTAGGACTGCCCGTCAGTTTCCTTGTAAATTTTTAGAAGACCTCACAGAACTTTGCAGTTTATTTTTCTCGGCCAACACATTAAAACCAGTCTTGGATTTCAAGTAGCCGGTTTTGCCTTTTATGTATTCTCATATAGTTTCCTCTTGAAGAAAAAAAAAGCAGAGTTTTTGCTTTGAAAGTCTTTATTTCGGTTCTGTTCTTAAATAAGCAAACAAACCCTGCACATTGGATTCCTGGGGGATGACCCTGAAAACTTTCAGATCTTAGAGGGGAAGGGTTAAATAACCTAGCAGCTTTGCTTTGCATTCAAGGTGATTATTGGTATTGCAGAAAACAAAACTCGATTGCCCCTTCAAGGACCAATCAATTCAAGGTGCACCGTTTAGGCCAAGAAGAAGACCGAGTGACGAGAGTAGCTGCAAGGGTGTAACCGGCTGTGCTGGAGGTCTGTCCCCGCTAGCAGCAGTCCTCTTCACAGTGCCTTGGGGGAGGACAGTTCAGGAGGAAGCTTGGTCGCTCAGCCCGTTTCCCCTCCTCCGTGACCTCTCCGCTGTCTGTACCAAGCTCGCTACGGATCCTGCTGTAACACTGGTGTGCGGCGGCTGCTCGCGACCTCCATGGCCACCCGTCTCTGAAGCAAGCGCCGCGGTGCCCTGAGCTTGCCCAGTAAAGCGCTTTGGGAAGGGAGCCGGGTCGTGCTTGCGTAGGAGACGGGAACCGTGGCTCGTGAAAGCCGCAGCTCCTTCCCCACTTCATGTAGCTGTGCTTTCCCCACTGTTCATCATCTTGTGTTTGACAGTTTAAAAGAGGTTTGACTATTCCTCAGCTCTTGTGCCAAGGAGGGTTTTTCTTTTGTTTTTATTTTTTTTTAAGACTTTTAAACTCAAAACTGCACAAAGATTTCAGTTTCAAACATGTATTATACTTCGGTAGAAAAGTGTTCTGCACAGGCAACTTTTGGAAGTATTTAAGAATCAGGGTGTGGGTCGGGGGAGGGGGGTCAAAGCAAAATTGTATTTGGAAACTAGGAAAAACTAAGAAACCAAGTTAGATTGGTTTGCTTCCTTGACATGGATTCTGGGAGGACGCAGTTCTTCTAAAATCTCCTGCGAATCGGCATGTACATGTCATTTAAAGCAATTGCAGTAGGACAAGCAGGCAGTAAAATAGAAGTATTCAAAGGAATCACCCTTCAACCACAGATCTTATTTTGGGATTAAAAAGGCAAAACTTCTAGCTTCAGCCAGGTGTGCATGTTGCTGCCATTTGCATTTTTGAATCATCTTGTGTAATTGTCACCATGAAAGTGTTACTTGGAATTGTCATAGGTTTTTTTTTTTTTTTCATCTTTGTGCAAAAACATGGAAAATTGTCACTGACTTTGTGTTGAGGTTTCCCCCATTTTGCTGCCTTTGGGGACACTATTTTTGTTGAATACTTGGTCTTGGCTGCATTCTTTTTTTTTCCCCCTGTGGGGTTTGAAAGAATAAACATTTTCTTACAGATAAAACTAGTTTTCTGCCTTTTTGACTCTCCTGGAGGGCACAGCAAGGTAGATTGCTGAGGGGGGCCCGGCTGGCCGCTGCCTTCGCGCCGCCCTCAGCCCCGTGCAGTGGACGCCGGGCAGGGAGCACACCCAGCACTGAGCGGGCCCTCGGGGCTCTCAGCCTGGTGCCGTCTCTGTTCTTTCTTAAGACCTGTCCCATCTCATTGGTCCCATCTCTCTTCTGGCCTCGGGTCACAGCCAAGGCTGATTGGTTTTCTGATACAGCCCCCCTTCCTAAAGCCCGTCAGGGAAGGGCTGCAGGGTGATGGGCGAGAAAGTCCCGAGAGCAGGTGTCCTTCACCAGGACCCAACGTTGCTGCTCCCAGTTCCGTGTCTTGCTGGACCACCGAGTGACCTGTACCCTGTCGGGCTGCTTGTCTGCTGTGGTCCTGCACCGGCCTCCGGGGTAACCACAGGCCGCCTCCGCTGCCCTCCCTGTTTCATCTGCCGAGACGCTGCCTCTCTTGCCGGTGTCTTCCTCTCTCGGCCATCGTTACAATTGATTTTGGCTCCAGGTTTGGAGATGCTGCTGTTGGCACCTTACCCCATCGTACCGCTGGGCAGCCTCTCTCGGTCTCTTGCAGACACACCACGCTGAGTGCCGTGATGGGAGCTCCCGGGGGAGACGCCTTGGCCTGGCTCGGCCTTGGCCTTCCCTGAAGGAGCGTGTCCGCCTACACGCGTCCCCATGGGCACACGCTTTTCCACTGAGGAGCTCTCCAGTTGTCTTCGTTCTTTTAGGCCCGTGACGTGGCCCCACATCGCAGTGCATCGGAACGCATCCCGCGCCGAGGAGCGGTGTTCGCTGTCCGAAATGGTGACGTGTTTGCGCAGGGACAGGCTGAGCGTGCCCAGACCGGCTGAGTAGCCTCTGCGCGTTGGCACCTCCCGACTCGACTTGAGGCGGTGGCTGGCACGTGTTCATTCTCCTTGTGAGGGTCTTTCCGCCAGATCCTACAAGGTGACAAGCAGTCGTCCCTCGTGAGTCCCGGCCTGCAGGAAGGGAACACCCGCCCGCTGTCTGCTCCCACGCTCGCGGCTGGGTGAATCCGGGCTGGGGAAGGCCCTGGGGAAGCCGAACATTTCTTTCTTCCTGGCCCGAGGGTGCACGCGCTCAGCAGCAACGGAGAGAAGAGGGATGGCCACGCCTCAGCCCTCTCTGCTTTCTGGGTTGGGGGCACGTGCCCACACACGCCCAGCGTGATTTCAGGGTGCCAGATGGGAGGCCCGCGTGGGATCCAGGCGCCTTAACCTCACACGCCCCGCTGGCCCCAGCCACGCATTGCTGACAGCTGCGCCACGTTGCTGCCTGCCACCGGGGTCTAGGTCCCAGGGCCAGTGCGACCCACAAGGCCGGGTTAGTGTGACCGTCATGGGGTGCGGCTGGGCTGGCTCCACGGGCCTTGCAGGGAGGCGTCCCCTCTCGTGCCACGGTCGCCCTGTCCAGGCACAGCCAGCGGCACAGCCGGCCTCTCCAGGCACAGGGGCTGCTGGCTCTGTGACCCTCCCCTGTAAGGAACGCCGCTCCTCTTGCTGCCTGCTGGAAGGAGTTGCTTTGGGGAGGTGCCATGAGGCAGACGAATGCTCTGAAACCAGCCAGGCCCTCCCAGATGAGACTGCAGGGAGCTGGTAAGAACTTCTCTCCAGGCCTGGCTGCCTCCTTGACAGCCTGGCTCTTAAACCATGCTCCCCAAAAGTCTGGAGCCGAGCACCTGCAGCCCATGGGGCTGGTCAGGGTGCAGACCCTCGGCTTTCGCTCTTTTCACCTTTCACTTCCTTGACTCAGTTTCCCACCATTAGAAAGCCAACCTACGAGGGTACATATTTCTGTCTGTTCTTTTTACTGCTATTACCCCAAAGTCCAGAACAGTGCCTGCCACCCAATCTGAAGTAGCCAAGCCAGGCCGCCCCGTCACAGGACAGAGCTGTTCCCAGGCGGGGAGAGACTGACGGTCCCGTATTTACTGCGACGTCTCCCACCCACCTCCCTGGTGTCTGCTGAAACCTCGTTTTCTTGTCAGACTTTCTCCACAAACTCCTGCGTGACGTGGCCAGGTGCAGGGATGTCCTGAACAGCTGGACACACGGAAGACCTGACTTTCCTCCACGGGAGACCTCCCTGCAGGGACCCGCCAGGGCCTAGCCCTGCTGCCCCAGGAACCACAACCCGAGTCGGCGTGCCCATTTTCCATTTTGACAGTAATCGGATTATAAAGCATTTCCTCCTGGAAGCTGTCTGCTTAAATACATGTCTCTGAGGATCTCCTTCCATCTGACCCTGGGTCTGAGTGTCTGCCTTCTTCCTGTCTCTCCTGAGGTTCAGGTTTATGTGCCCTTGGGGTGGGCCTTCCAGGGCTCTGGGATCACCCACGTGGCCCCTCCGTTTTCTCTCCAGGGAACGCCAGGCTTAGCTTCCCACAGTGCATGGCCTTTGGACTGTGCCCGAGGAGCCGGGACTGCTTGGCTCCGGGAGGCAGTCCCCACTCCGCCTGGCTCAGCAGCTTGGGAGGGCAGCCGTGGGGTGTGGGCTGGGCCAGGCCCCTGCATGCTCTGCGTGCCCTTCCTGACTGCTTGGCGGGGTCTCCGTCAGAGGCAGGGCCTGGCTGTCCCAGGCCCGGCTGCCCCGGGCCTGGCTGTCCCTGTACCAGCCTATCTTACAGGACAGTTGTTCCCAGACATCAGACTTCATCAGAGCAGCGGAAGTCGCTGATTAAAATGCAGATTCTGGAGCCCTGCCCCAAGGTTTCTGAGTCACAGCGTCTGAAAGGGCCTCCACCTTGAGACGCGCTGGTTGGAGCACCGCCCGCCACTCCCGCAGCTGCCACCAGAGGGCACATGCGACTTTAGCCAGAGGTGGTGTTTCCCTGCCAGTCAGCTGGACCAGAGGCTCTTCCCTAAAGACTTCTTCCACTGTGGTTTTCTCCTGTGTGTTAGGAAGGAGGGAGGCAGCTCTGAACAACAGGGGTTCTCAGCCCGTCTCCAGCAGTTACCAAGGTCCAGCAGTTACCTGATCCTGTGGAATGTCCTGTGAGGAAAGGGGGCGATGGTTCCCACTGGAGAAGGCTCCCCAGGGCCTCCCTCGCACCGAAGTGGGACAGCCTTTCAGAACGTCCTAGAATCTTTGTGTGAAGATGGTAAGTGATGTGGGTTTTCTTCTTCATATTTGTGTGTAGTCCAGATTGTCCACAAAAAATGTACTACTTCCATAACAACAAAAAGGATTTTTAAAACATTCTAAAGGTAATTAAAAGTCAGAGCAAGAACTCAAAAATAAACAAGTAGCTCAATCCCATGAGGGGACCTGGGGTGAGCAGCTTGGTGTACGGAAGCCCCCAGCTGGAGCCTGCCCCCCAGGTCTCGGCTCTACTGAAATATCTGCCCAGGGTGGGGTTTAGCGGATCACGTTGTCCGAGTGCTCCCGAGAACAAGGCTGAGACCACGGGGCAGGTGGCTGCCTGGGGCACAGGGCCTGTCATCTCAAGGTCACCTGTTGCTGGAGCTTGTGGCCCAGCGTGGTTAGGGTGGGGCAGCCCAACCTCAGCACGTGAGTCCCGTTCTGTGCTGCTGTTCTCCTGCGCCCAGGGACTGCCTGGAGCCCAAGTGGACGGGCGCAGGCCAGATAGGAGCACTTCGCGGCCATGGGTTCCTGGTTCCTGCCTCGACAGACACGGGTCTTCATACAGTTCATGGGAAATGCATCTGATAAAAAGCATGGCTTTTTTTTTTTTTTTAATCAAAATGAGCTCGTGCTGTTGGATTGTCAGGAAAGCCGTGTCGCTTTCTGTTCTCCATGCAAAAGTGCGTCCTGGCTTCCCAGCAGCCCAGTATGTGCTATAGCGCGTCGGAGAGGGTGTGTGAGTTGGAGGCGCTAAGAAGGAAGGCGCTGGTTCAGAAAGAAACAGCAATATGGTTTCTGCTAAAACTGAAGCCAGAACAAACCAACTGGCTTGGGTGGAAGAATTGAAAAATCATTGATGCTTTACCAAAAGTTTATGGAGACAATGCCACAAAGAAACCAACAGCTTACAGAATCGGTTAACCCGATCTAAGAGGGGATAAGAGGACGTTGAAGAGGACTCTTGCAGTGGCAGACTATCGATTTGCAAGAAAACATTCATCTCGTTCATGCCCTGGCTGAAGAAGACTCAATGGGACCATCAGGGGAAACGGTGGTTACCTCCACACAACTGACCATGGTTCAAATCCTGGATCTGGCCCCGTGAAAACTACACCGGGGGGCTAGCAGGTGGCATGGTGGTTGAGGTGTTGGGCTCCCACATGGTGGAACCACGGTTTGAGTCCTGGACCTGGTGGCTGGCTTTCTCACTTCCCCTATCTCTCTCTGTCTCTCTCTGGGAGGACACATACCCTGTACCAAATTAAAAAGTAGTAATAATAAATAAAATAAATAATTATTTTAAAAAGAAAAGAAAATGATGCCCGGTGCGCATGTATGCATGTGTGCCTAAAATCCTAAGAAGGATGGAGAAGGGATTGCAGTGTGGCCATCCGCCTTGGGATTTCTCACTTTGCTCTCTCTGTTTCTTCTGGGAGCGCACACCATATGACAAAAACCTGAAAAAAACTTAAA